AAATAAATAATAAATGAATAAATAAATAAATAAATAAATAAATAAATAAATAAATCCAGATATTTTGCAAAGACTAAGATGGAAACATTTTCCAGAAACAAGAGGTCTGATAAAATTCTCAGGGATATTACTTAATTCATAAAATATGCTAAATTAGGTGAGCTTTCCACTGCAAAGCACCTAGATTTTTGCTAGGCTTGTTCTGCATATCAAGTGTTATTCACAATCCATGGACAGGAGGAGACATCTCCAGTGACTGGAATGGGAGGTGGGAGAAAACAGAGGGGAAAAATAAGAATAATACATAGTTTATTATAGGGTTCATTTCTCTTAAGTAAAGTTCTTGAAGTAAATCAAAATGAGGGAAAGTAAGAAGTGAGGCTTTAGTTTTTCTTTATCTGGTTTATCTCAAATCAGAATCACCATTCTATCAAACCAGAAGACCTGTTTGTGATTCTAATCAGTGTCAGCCTGGAGTAGCATTGCCTCTTCCTAATGAAAATTTAAGTTTGTGCAACCCTAATTTTACTCACTGCGCTGTATGCTTCCAACTGGGATAACGTCCATCAAACCATCTGCATGTCTCTCTTTGCTCAGCCTGCACCTGCTGGGCTCCCTGTAACACTGCAGCATCTCTGAAACTACATGCCTGAATACAGCTCTCATCCTAATTAACTCAGAAATTTCATCCCAAGCTCTGACAGAACAGATGAAATAAAATGTCTCAAACAGACCAAGCCAGATTGGAGATAACATCTTTTGCAACACTCTATATCAAATCAATATTTTGTTCTCCTATCTGGAAAGCATTGCATATTTCCCTGTGCTTGAAAAATAGTTGAACAGTAGAGTAAAAACTAAAGCAACTTGGACAGACAGATATCAAAAGAATTGAGATTCTTGTGTTGTATCCCTTTGCTAATTGTTCCAGTTTAAATTCTAACAGCCAAGACAAAGATCTATGCCACAAAGATAACGGCAAAGCTGTCATTTGTGAGGGTTGATTCTACTTTGATAAATATTTAGAAGGCCATTACGTAAAAGCCAGGGGAAACCCTCTCCATTATCAGTGAAGAAATCTGCCTTCTCAACAGATCCCAAAACACCTGTTGGAAAGCAAAAGGAGAATGTCTTGGTCCTAATATGCACATGGACATATTAGATTTAAATAAATAATAGGTTTGGTTGCTACAATTCTTTTAACCATATCCCATTCATTACAATAAATCTTACTAATGAGAATTATTTAAAAATATTCCTTGGGGGGGAAATCACTTTCATTTTTAGTCCCTGCCAAAGAGCCTGATATAATAAGATTAAGAATAAATAGGCTGGATGGGATGCTAATTCGTTAATTCATAATCCACATGTAGAATTGATGCAGAACAAAGCAAAGAGCTTATTCAAGAATGTACAGCAAAGAGAACTATCTATTCTTAAATAATGTATGCTGCATAATTGCCTCATCACTCTGGACTAAGAAAAAAATATTTATGACAGCTTATAAATAATACTGAGATTTTCAGGCATAATGCCAAGCTATGGTCTATTATTATGGTCTGTTATTATTCAAGAAAGCTATGAACTCCCTCAACCTTTCTTTTGACTTTATGTCAATTAATTGCTCCTTCTATATAACAAACTATTTATATCCAAACTAGGAAAATATATGCCCTCCAAAGTAGCATTTCAAGTTAATTTCTAATATGGCTTCAAACTATTATCTGAGGGAAAAATTAATTCAACCAGAGGTTGCAAGTGCTTCCAAAACCACTTGGAATCTGAATGCTGTGGTGCCAAGAAACAATAAATAAGAACCAGAAAACATGGTCAATCTTTACCATTTGCTTTAACCAATAAATCTGCATTGCCATGAATTAATGCCACCAAATATGCCAGTTATTAGAGAGAGAAAAAGTACTGATAACACTTTATAAGTGAACCCAGATTCAAAACCCACCGGTAAAAAACCTACAAAATGATGTTTGAGAGTGAGGGAATCAGTTTAATCATTTATCTTCTAAACAACTTTTATTTAATTACTTGTTTATCAAGGTTATACTTTGGAATTTTAGTTTCCCGGGAGAAGTTTACCAGACAGTCAAGTATGAAATTTGTGAAAGACGAAGTTTAAACGTAAGCCTACCAGACAGTGGAGCTATGTTTAGGTTGCTGGAGCCTGCAGAGTAATATTAAGATGCTGCGCAGGAAGGAAACTCATCAGAGAGCAGCTTAATCTGTCTAAATATTTTCACTACGTGCATGGCACTCAGCCTTCATTCAGGCATAGGAATGCAGACTACTTCTGGAGGAGCTTTTGCACATTACAAAATAATATTTTTATGTCCATCATTCTCTCTTCTTCTTTCCTAGCTTCAGGATACAGTTAATGTATAATAAAAAAGTTAATACTGCAAGAGGAGAGGGAGAAGATTACAAACAGAAATCTTAGAAGAAAGAGATTATATATGTGCTTGTGTGTGTGAGTACATATGTGTACATTTAATAAATTACTATAATAGACAAACAACAATTTTGAGCTTTTAAATATAGCAATATATAAGAAACTGGCAAAATAAAGTACAATATAGGAAGTCAGAATGCAAACTTCAACTTGGGGGGGGGGCGAGTGGACAGTTTGAGAACTCACATACACTAAAATCTTTACCACATTTACTGAAAATGGAAGACTGAAATTGGACCCCATTGGAAGACTTATTTTCTCCTTTCCAATGAACCTATTAGGGAAACTGTTTTTACAACAGTACATACAACTATCAGGGAAAACTGAAAACTGAGGAAAATATTTAGTGATCTAGATCGGGGAAGGACAACTTTGAGGGGTGGCCAAGGATTCTATTTAACTATTACTGCAACTGCTATTGCTGCTGCTGCTTCTTTTTTAATAAAGCAAAGGCCACAGTACATACGATAATGAAGTAAATTCAAAAAACCGTGGGAAAGCTGAAACACATGGTTTTTAAACCTGTGTTTGGAGGAGGTTTGGAAGGTTTTTAAAATATCAGATCAACCTTATATTACAATGTATATGTTTTCTACTTTCGAACAGCAGTAAATCATATTGCTGGTTTACTCTGCGGTGGTCATATGAAGCTCTGAAGCCCATAAAGGAAAGAGATCACATGCAACTTTGGGAATCAGGTTGTTTAATTTTAAACACTTCATCTCAAAGTATGAATGCACCGCAGGCCATGAGCAATGATTCTCAAATACTCAACCCAATCATTCTTCCTAATGGTTTAGAGTCAGTCAGCAATTGAGCACAGAAGGTTCATTGATTCTACTACCAATTTTTACATACTGTTAAAGCTGCAACATTAAAGATGCCAAATGCATCATAAAGCCAAGGAAAGACAGCATTACAGAACTGTATTATTATAGACTATTATTGCTTTCACAAAATACTCAACCTACTGCTTCCATAAAGGCACATTTTCTTCCATCCCTGCTTTAAAATATTACCTTATGAATTATAGGTGCAATATCTCAGAGATACAGGCCATAATTAATGCCTGCACGCCTTTCCTTCTGCTGGATCAAACTGTTACTGAAACTCAGTATAAAAGAAACCTTCAGTGGTATAAAAATTCTGTAGAAACAGGCCTAGGCACAATTTAATAAAACAATACTTCCTTTAAATAATTAACCAGGCTATGGCATTTCTTAATATTACCAAGGCTTTCTTCCTGTTTCCGCATTATTACTGTGTGTCGCCCATCCTCCCGAAGCGTGCTGTTCATAGTAATAATCTAATCAGGAGTGCAGGAACAAAGTTTAAGATGCACAGAGTACCCTGAAGGAAAACTGTATTTATTGCTTCAGGTTTGTTTCTTCTTTGCCATCTGCATGATTTACTTACCATCTGCCACTGCCATGATTTTAGTAATAAAAATCTGATAAACTTTTTAAAAAGATTTTTGTTTTAGCACTCTTTTCCCTAATTATTATGTTTAACGCTTGATTGTTACCAACTTACAGCTGAATGTCAAAGTAAATTCATGACAAACATTACAATAGAAGTATGAAAAGGGTCATCTCTGGATAAACTGCAGTAGATAAGCAAACTCCTCAGTCTGTCACCTGATTAACTGCAACAGCAAAACAATATCCCTTTTAACATCTTAAATTATACTTCTAAAATCAAGGTAGTTAGAAAAAAAGAATGAAATTAGTTCAAATACTGAAACAAATTCTTGGGTTCAGTTGGGTTTTTTTAAGCATGCAGAGTATTTTTCATGTGCAGCTTCAACTGGTGTATCACAAGTTTGGAATAAAATGAAATGGATCATAAGCTGAAAATTTACATACACCTGCTTTGGTAAAATTGTTTAATATATACTGAAATATTGGTAAAGCAGGACCAATGAACATATTTGCTAAAAATCACACTCATTTATAAAATGCCAACATACAACAAGCAGTCCTACTGTATATGAAGCATCTAATATTTCTTAGACCCAAGTAGCAATATTAATACAATTCAGTTGCTTTTCCAGTATTAAGTTGCTTTTCCAAGGTAGTCTGACAACCTTTTTCAAGTTTTCATCACTTCATTAGTATTGTAAATATTTCTGGCTTGGAAAAGAAGAGCTACTTAAATTTATTGCCTTATACAGGAAAAGAGGAAAATTAGGAAGGAGGCACTACAGTTAGCCAAAGTTGACACTCAACAGGATACCGTGCCTGAAGTGCAGTGTGTAGACAGCCTGATAAATATGAGTTGAGGCGGAGGTGATTTCCATTGAAAAGTATCATTAATTTTCCACCTATGTGTATCTCAAGGGACTACTACAGTACAAGGCTGACCTACTGAAAGGTATAAAGTTAACAAACTTCCAGGAGAAAAAAAAAGAAGAGAAAGAGGCTGAAAACAGCAGCAGATTATACCCTTAAAATTTAAATCAATCATTCTTTCACAATGTTATTTTGTTTAAGAACAAAGCAAAATTCATACTGTACCTTTGGTTAGTGATACCTACCAGATAAATCCTGTAAGCATCAATCCTCCTGATTGGCCCCCAGCACTTGTCTGTGTCATTATACTTTGTCCCATCTTCCACACTGCATGAATGATTGCCAGTCACAGTACTGACAAAAAAAAGCAAAGCAGAGTATTAATGTTCATCTGAATATGTGAAGAGACCCTTATTAATAAATATACCATACAGGTATGTCCAGGAAACAGTTGCAGATCAAGTAATAACAGCTTTTTAAGCAGCAGATGAAATAGCTAGTAAGACAACTGCAACTATTCCTTAGCTAGTTGGTTATGGCAATGGTTTTCCATTCTGCAGTTACTTATCATTGTAATGTATTTTATGTGGGCTGTCCTAGATAGCATTCAGAAGATATAATTCATAGCACAGTTGGATTACTAACTGGTATATTTAGTTTGCCTTGAATATTTGTATATATCGACAAATGATTTTCAGAAATTCTAGTGCTGGTTTTTACTTTCCAAGTCCTATATAGCTTGGGGCCTATGTGAGAAAACAATTTGGGCTGTAAACAAATATATCTGGACACTAAAATTTGCCACTAGTTTAATTTGTGTGTTATCAACTCTTAGCAACCACCTGGATAGATCTTCTCCAAGATGATCTGTCCTCAACTTTCAAGTTTCCCAATGGCATACCCACTGCCATTGTAACAGAGTTCTTCTCCTTTCCTGCTTTCCTGCTTTCCTGATTATCATTATAAGATGGATTCATGATTATTTCTAATAATGGTTTTTAAGTACATTGTGGCTCTTTTAAGTTTTGTATAGCCTGAAATTGACTTGAAAACTGGGATAGTTGTAGACCTCAATACAAAGTCAAAACCATCAATATGAAATAACTATATTATCTTTTAGCTTTTTAAGAAAATGAACACATCCACAATATTGTTACCAGACGCATACCTACCAAGTCACTTCCATGAGAGAAACTGGGACAGCAGCTGCATAGATTGCCAGATCACCATATAAATAGATGATTATACAGAAGTAAAACAAATTCACTCCCACTACAAAGAAGAAAAATGAGAAAAAGATAAACCATTGCGATTCACAAAATTGTATCAGTTTTTTAAAAAGCTTAATATTTTAGTCATTTCTTATTGAAAGTTCTTTTTTAGAAGCCATGTAACCATGCTGAAATGAAATTGATCCAAAACACTGCTTGAAAAAAAGAACATACTCAATGCATACTGGAATTAAATCTTACAGGCAAAAATATGGTGCCCTATCTAGTATCTTAAAATCTATTAACATTGTTTTCTATAATTAAATATTTCAAAATGTTACATTAAATATAACACTCTCACTATGACAAACCTTCAGGCAGAAGTAAAGGATCTTACCGTGTGTGTGTGTGTGTGTGTGTGTGTGTGTGTGTGTGTGTATCTAGAGTAGAATACCTACTTCATTTGACTACAAGTTGCATCAATTATTTCACTCAGAGTATATAAAAATTATGATAGGTGCCGTACAATCACATTTAAATGTCATTTTATCAAAGCATACAAAGCGTAACCCTCTTTGATGGATTACATGTAGTCCTTCTCTTCAGACTGGTTCAAAGTTCCAAAGTTCTACCTGGGGAGTACTTACAACCTGAATTCAAAATTCTGTCGGTTGTCATCCCCCCCCTTGCAGTCATGTGACTTCACTTTGGGCAACTGGCAATTGGGCCACATTTACAAACCCTAGCAGATTTCCATGATGTGTTTTGCAACCAATTTGCTGAAAACCAGCATTTATTTCCAGTTTCCAAAACTGGATATGATTCTAATCTTGCCAAATTACCATATGATTTATAAAAGGCTATGATGTAATACTTTTTATTTACAATTTGGGGACAAAAGTATTGGTATGCCAAGAAGCTTTTATGATCAGACATCAGGAAAGATAAAGAAATTCCAAAACACATCAGCTTGTTTTTCAAAAAGGAACTGAAATAACTCAATCTAAACATATTTCATTTTCAAAGTAATCAGGCCAAGGACAGAAGGCATCAAAGACAGGACGAAAAAAAGAACATAAGAAATACAAAAATGGAGTATATTCAGCTTGGCACTAGGAATGGTCTTCTGCAATCTATTTGTGAGGATGGAATACATTTGCATACAGTTATATACCTATGCACACGCTGAATACATATACACATGCACAACTCTGTTAAAACAAAGTATTCTTCAGTCAAGTTTAATGCTTGGTGATTTCATAAATATATCTCTATATGTTTTGGCAACATTTGCAAATCACCTATATCTCACCAGTGTTGAGGTACTGGATTAACTTTATGCATGCTCAGATAAATAAATGCAGAATTCAAATAAAAAATAAATAAATAGCCAACTTTTTCTTCTGAGTTTTGGCTTCCAATCTAATCTATTAATTATCCTTATTTTTCTTGATAGTCTCCTATTTGAGTATAAAACGCATCTGACTCTACTCAAGTTTTGAGATCAGCCAAGGTCACCGCTTAAAAAATACAAGTACTAGGCAACCCTCGTTTCTTGGCCAAAATAATGTCTTTTACATTTTAAAAAAATCTCCTCAAACAGAAACAACATGGTGTACTCAGTAACTACATGTCTTCTAAATGGGGTCAAGGAAAAAGCCTTGACACTTTGCCAGAACACTTTGTTCAAAAGATAAATGGAAATGGGCACTATTCACTTATGCCACTATTCAGCAGTATTAATTCTATAACTGTTTAGCATATATTTTTCCCCGTTATAATTTGTTTCACTTCCTGAAATACCAAATTATTTTATGAATCAGTACCACAAGTATGTTGAAGCTTGACCTGATGCAAAACATGGACAGGCAGTCATTTGTTTTAAGCATCTGGTTCACTAATAAGTGACCACCTTTCTAGTTTCCTCCATGCATGATACACTGAAACATGATCAATGCCAATTATATGTATTTTTTAAACAATATGAACTATGGTAATCGCCAATATATTTATGCCTGCTGAGGTCTGTTGCCAGACTAGCTTTTCACTTGCCTTACAACATGTTCCTCTCTAGATACTTATTTGAGGGTTCCTTATGACTATCAGAGATCAGAGTTTGACTTCCAACATCCAACTGAAACCAATGATGCTAGGTGCGAAAAGTCTGTTGCATACACAAGTTCACATTATAACACTAGATGAAATTCACTTTCCACTTTCCGGGCAAGTGTTCTGTCAAAGGCCACTAAAAAGTGTACCATCATGAATATGCAAAAAGCACAGTGCACGCCAGTTTCAATTGCTAATTATATATTGCAATTAAGTGGGCAGTGCAGTAGAATAGCCATCCCATTTATAAAACCTGCATCCATTATATAACTTCTATACAAAGAGTCATCAATTCATTTATTACTAGCATATCTATGCCATTGAATAGCCCAGAAATGGTTCTAAAGCAATGATATTTCATAATGAATAAGCCGAATTATTTAGAGTATGCTAATAGATGGAAACCAGAAAAATTCTTGTTTATGCCTACAACATATTCTTCTTTCTCTTCTTCTCATAAAAATATTTTGGTTCTTTGAAGTATTAAATCTCTTAGTGTAACTTAAGAGGAAAGCATAAAAAACAAATTAAAAACACACAAAATGTTATCTAACTAGTTATCTGTTAATACTGATATGTCTATCAGTAGAATAAAAGCAAAATTATTTCTCTGCAGTAATAATCAGTAATTATGTTACCACATTTAGATATTCATAATATTAAAATGAGACAAGAGCAGCATGGTAATCAAAAGCATATTTATTCCCAGCTTGGAGTTTATTATTTTTAAAATAGTAAATAGATTAAAATATTCATTAATTCTTTAAGACCCATTGCAGCTTTTCCTCCAGCTAAATGTACAAACAACTGCAGCTATAAATGCTTATTAAAATCTTATTCAAAGAAAAAAAATCAAATTAATCTAAAACCAAATAAAACTTGAACATTAAAGTCATTATTCATGTATATTATTAAACTATAATGGATTTTTGTCAGCCTTTTTGTAAATGCTAAATTGAATATATAGTCCCATTATAGAAAAAAAATACTCTTAATTAGGAGAAAGAGAAATTAGTCTCATGAAACTCTGACAAGAAAATGAGTTTGGACTAACATTCAAGTCAAGCTAAGACTGTCTCATCTAGCAAGTTCAAGACAGCACTTTCATCTTTCTAGAACAGGTCACTGGGACCAGAAGTTTACTGTTTCGAGCTTTTGGACTTAAACTGGAGCCAATCATCTCTCTACTAGAATGTGTGCTTTGGGCTATTCTATGCATAGTATTTATGCAGTGCTTGGCTGTGTACAGCTTTAGTTGTTGATTGGGATGCTGATGGCCGACTATTAAATCGTTGCCTGGTTTTCCTTGTGCTGCCAAGTTCTCAGCTCCTAATACCTGATAAGCTGGTGGTAAATCAACACTCCTGTTGATTGTCAAGGGGCCCATTTTCCAGGCTTCAATCATTTCCCTGGCTATTTTTGTACCTGCTTGGCCAACAATCTTAGTAGTTGTAAAATTGAACACATGTCCTTGTTCACTGCAATGTGAAACTACCAATGAATTCAGGTCTACTTGTCTGACTGCTCATATTCTTGCAATCTGGTGGTTAGACTCCTCCCTATCTATTCTACATAGTCTATCAGGTTGAATCTCAACTCTGATGAATTTGGGCCACAGATTCATTATTTTACCATTTTATCTGCCCCTACTAATAAGACATCCCAGTGATCTGGCCTTCTACTTTACTTGCTGTCTCCCCTTGCTTTTATTGTTCTCATCCACCCCACACTTAATTGTTTTTGCTAGTCGTTTATAGTCATGTGAACAAGTATATTCACATTAAATCATTTTTTAACTAATGTAGACACATCAACATAAATATAAAGATAATGTAACTGAACAAAAACCTACAGAATAAAATATTGTCTATTCAACATAAAATTAACAGATATGCCATTTCCTTCCATAGAAAAAATAAGTCCACCTTTAATATTTGATTATTACCCCCTCTGGCAGAAACAACTTCAAGTAGACATTTCTTATAACTGTCTACCAGTTTCTGACAATAAATAGGATTAATTTTTTCCTCACTCCTTCATGCAGATTTGTTTTCACTTGTGCAATGTTGGGAGGGATTTCTTGCATGCACAAGTTGTTTCAAATCACTCCACAGAATCTTGATGGGATCTGGACCTAGGCTTTTGACTTGACCATTCCAGAATCCTCCATTTCCCTTCTTTTTTTCCCAGCCATTCTTTGGTGGATTTACTAGAATGGCTACTGCCATTGTCATGTTGCAAGGTTCACTTTTAGTTACGCTTTTAACAGATGATCTTACGTTATCCTCAAACACCCTCTGGCACAATGTACAATAGATTCTATGATGGACACCAAGCACTCCATACCATAACCTCACCACCGCCTGCTTTATAGTTAGAATCAGTTTCTTCTGGTAAAATTATGGATTTGGCTTTTTACATGTCTTCTGATATTGTGACCAAGTATCTCAATTCTTTACCTTGTATGTTCACAAAACACTGTTCCAGAAGCCCCAATTTTTGCCTAGATGTTCATGAGCAAACTTTAGTTTTGCCCTCAAATATTTTCTGTAAGCAATGGTTTTCTCCTGGCACATCTCCCAGGTAGATCTAATTTGTGCAGCTTCTTTCTAATGGAAGTCTCATGCACTTTGACACCAATAGTAGTGAGTTACCTACAGGTTACATGGTAAAATTCTGGGGGGGGTTAGGGATCTTTTAGGCATCTTGTGAACTTGTTGGGGTGGCCTGCCCTGGGCAAGTTGGCACTTCTTTGAGATCTTTTCCACCTCTTAATCATCGTCTTGACAGTGGCATGATTGATGTACAATTGTTTGGCAATATTTTTCAATCTCTTTCCCAGAATCATAGGTGCCTATAATCTTCTTTTTGAAGATTACAAGAGCTATTTTAATCTAGACACAGTGATACCTCCCACTTGAACAACAAAGAGCAAATCAAACTAAATATCTGAGGTTTCAATAAGGCAGGTTTATTCAAGATCCTCTCTAATAATGTTCTAATCATTTGTACCTGATCTGAGCTTTTCTACCATATCAAGGTGATAATCTCCTGAAAGGTATTTTGAATACACCTCGGTAAATGTAAGAACAAGATAGCAGCTATTTTAAAAGCTAATACTTGGATTCTCAGGGAAAAAAACTGAATTAGGAACAGCTGTAATTTAATCAGAGATATACAGTAAAATTAGACTGTCATTTTTCAAATAGTCGATTTAACAGGCCAAGGACAACATATAGGATAAGAGGATTATGAAAGGGCTGCTATTGTTCATTGTTAAAATCAAACCAACTAAATATATTGCTCACTACTTAGATCATTTGATTCCAGACTTGAATGTATATTTAATAATGCTTCTCATAGGAATTTTAGTTCAGTAGATTATAATCTAGTTATTTAAATAGAAAGTAAAACAAAAATGCTCACATTACTCATTCTTTGGGCTACAAAAATGGTTATGCCTTGACTCCTGCTTATGATTTAAGGTAATTCTAAGAACATATTTCTGTTTTAATGTTCTGTATTATTCATTTGACAGACAGAACTTTATTTTGGTTGTTGACTAATAAAAATACTATCAATAAAATGAAAACTATCTTCTAACAACAAGAACTACTATCAACCATTTGTACGAGAAGCTTACACATAATATACCAAAATTTTGCTACTTTTAGATAAATACACTTATCTTCCTTTTTTTTAGATAGTGCAGATAAAAGCTAGGTTCAGGTATTAAAATTTGGTTATTTACAGTTACAATATAATTGAGAAGATTGTGAAAGCAAGCAGCAATTTCTGTTTGATCTTCTACATCTAAGATCCTTTGTCGTAGTATTGATCTAGCGTGATCTAACTATAAGGTTAAGTTTGGCATCACTGGAGAAACTAAACAAAGTTGGTTTCTTTTGGATCACAGTTTCCCAGGAAGTTTTATAGTTTTTTGCAAATGTTAGATAGGTCAGTTCACTAGTTTGAAACTACTGCTTTTTAGGCAATCCTGTGGTTCCCCTGGAGAACATTTTGGCTTCCCTTTCTTAATTCTTCAATTAGTGTTTCATATTATTTTTTGCAATAAAGTTATGGTTATGGTTTTGGTTTGCCATTTGTTTTTTTTAATTAAGGTAAACATTGTGCCAGTTCTGTTTTATAAATAATCATGGGTCTTCATTGATTGATACTTTCATTACTAGACACAAAAAAAGGAAGATCAATGGATTTCTCCAGGAGTGGTACATGACATATATGCCTAGAATCCATTACTACAATAAATGATTCCAGAGTCCCTGTTAGAGCAGGCAAAACTATCCTTCAGAGTTAGACACCTTTCATAGAAATCGTCAGAAGACATTCTTTCTCTTTAAGACTACATACCAATTTCCTACAAAGTACAGTTTGAAGCCTTATGTGTCTCAGCTTAAATTGGTAAGATAACAATTTGACAAGCATTGATTTTTATAAGATTACCAAAGGAAATGTGCAGGATATGCAGCGAACACAAAGACGTCCTTTTTTAACAAACCTATAACAGCAATTATAATAGAATATGATATTCTGAAAATCTTACTCTTTGCCTGGACTATATCTTTTTATTCCGGTAGCAAAACTTGCCAGGTTTTAATTGGGCATTACATTAGATATATTCACCGTGACTGCATAAATTTATTTTAGCCTGTTCTAAAACTACCATCACATAGAAAGCAAGGTCAGAAGTCAGCTCTTAAAAGCAAGTAATTGATGTAGTGCTGATTTCATTCACTGAAAAATTATGCAGAATTTCCACAGTTGCAGGAAGCCTGGCAAATGCCAAAGTATGGCAAGGAAAGAGCAAACTGGAAACGATGGATAGTATTTCTGACACCCAATAACCTCCAAGAAAAACTAAGTAAAATCCCTGGTAAGGGAATAGCAGGGAAGACAATGGCAAAACTATGCATTTGAGAAATTTGATTTTTCAGCAGTACAGGTACTCCTCAATTCACAACTATTCGCTTAGAACCATTCAAATTTACAACCACACTGAAAAAAGTGACTTATGACAGTGCGTGCGCTTACAACTGTTGCAACATCCCTACAGTCACATGGTCAAAATTCAGATGCTTGGCAACCAGCACATATTGACGATGGATGCAGTGTAACCAGCGTTGCGTAATCATCATCTGTGGCCTTCCCAGCCGGCTTCCAACAAGCAAGGTCAATGGGGAAGCTAGATTTGCTTAGCGACTACACAATTCATTTAACAACTGCAATGATTCAGTTAACAACAGTGACAAAAAAGGTCAAAAAAGCAAGCATGACTCACTTAACAACCACTTTGCTTAGCAATGGAAATTCTGGTCGCAATATTGAGGACTGCCTGCATTTATTTCTGTTTGTAAAAAGATGCAACTGCATCTAATCCAGACAAAATATATGAATCAGCATAGCAGCAGTCAATTTTAGTCTAGCTGAACAAGAAAACTATAACATTTCTTATAAGATAAGATAACAGTCTTATCACTTATGTAAATTATTTAGAATTATCTTGCTTTCTAGATATGTTTGAACTAGAGACACCTTATAGGATTTCCACATTCCTATAGAAAGCAATGCTGCACAGGCGAATAAATATGTACAAATGTCATGGTTCTAGCTTCAGTTTTAGTATGTACATTTTTGCTTCATTTCACTAGACTATCAGAAAATTATGTATTTCTAACCGAACACTATTTAGAGACCATTCAAAACACTACACTGAGTGCACACTAAAATATTTTGCCAATACTGACATCTATAATGTAAAACCTCTATAGACGAGAAGCCAAAAGAAGGAATGGCAGGAAGAGAATTTATTATTCTCCTAGCTAAATTCAGTGCTTGATAATGTATGCCTGGATTTGGAAATCTCTATGATCTTTCCAAAGCATTCTAATGCAACCAAGTATCTTTCTACAGATCAAAAGAACAGAAAAATCATATGACGCAAATTAGGGCCATCCCTACCTTTGGAGGGGCACTTTTATTTTGCTATAACTGTTCATTTTTGAAAACTTTTCCCTCTGAGAAAGAAAGCTAGTATGCTGCCTATAATAAGTGAAAAAGAGCAGAATAAATTTTGTTTGAACTGTCAACCAAATAAAGCATTTGTTAAAAAAAAATTAACTATGCTTAACCTGCATTCACATATGTGATTTGAGCACCCTCTACTGTGTAAAATTATTCATAGCCGAAATTGAGAATTAATGCTACCATATTATTCCAGAGCTGTATTTCTCCAATGTAAACATCCCTCTAGCCACCCTATCAAAAAAAAAAAAATCCATGATAAAAGCAAAATCTCAAAATTCATCCCAAGGAAGACATTTAATCACTATGGTATACAGTAAAAAAATGTACTAATGCTGAAAAGGTAACCCTACTTCAAATGAAAGCAAAAATATAGACATGGTGGAATAAAGGTACTCCTACATACAAATAGCAAAAACAAAACATAGTTTTGCATCCCATTTATCCTCATTATCTCACTCTCCTTCATTGCCTACAACTTCATTCATTAACTATTACTTCTTACCAGATAGTTATATATGGTGTCGAAGAGCCAACTTTGGAAAGGTGGGAAGATAAAGTTAGCCAACACATCTTGACCCTTACTAGCTCACTTTGGATGAAGCTCACTTTGGATGACACTGACCAGAATAATACTTCAACCTTTGCTGTGAATACAAAGCTTAATGAAGAAGAAGCCAAAGGCCCCTGATTCCATACAAAGGCTTATTCAGTCCCAGATCTTGGGAACTATCACTTACATATGTTTGATCTATTTTCCATAACATATGTATGGATAATGTAGATGTTCTTAGCCAGGCCATCACCAATAAAACTTATACTTAGGAGGAAATTGAGGGAGGAAGAGGAAAGGGGGAAAGGCGGGGATAGAAGGAAATTGAAAGCTTTTTGGCAATAATTTAGCAGTACTTCATTTTCTGTATTAAGTGTTTCCTAGTTTGTGTTTACTTGTAAGTATTCCACAAATAAAAACTGTAAGCATGTTTTAGGAAATGAACCAGATAAGGTTTAAATAAAAACTCAAAAAACATATCCGAAATATAAAACAGGGCCTTAAAAATAGTTACCTTTGTTGAAGAACATGGAGGCCATCTGACCCATTTCTACCCTTTCTGTGATTTCAAAAATATTAGGTGCTCCTCGTCTCTCTGAAAATTAGAAGGAATATTTTAGACCCATAATAAGCCCACGCTATTCATGTTATAAACCATTTCCTTCACAAGTAAGTCCTCAATTTACAACTATGTGTTTAACAATTATTAAAAATTACAATAACACTGAATAAATGACTTATGGCCGATCCTCACACTTATGACCATCAAAGTGTCCCCATAACCACCTGATCAATAACCACCTGGCAACCAGCATGTATTTACAATGGTTGCAGTGTCCTGGGGTCACATGTTCACCATCTGTGATTCTTCCAGCCAGCTTCCAACAACCAAAGTCAATGGGAAAAGGGGGATTTGCTTAACAACAATGTGACTCCCTTAACAACCGCAATGATTCACTTAACTGCAGCTAAAAAGGTCTTAATATTGGACACGACTCATTTAACAACTGCCTTGCTTAGCAATGGAAATTCTGATCCCAATTGTGGTCATATGTCGAGGACTACCTGTATCTTGTTTATGAGGTACCAATACCATGTTTCCCAAAAAATAAGACAGGGCTTATTTTCTTTTGATCCTTGAAATAAGCACTTGGCCTTATTTTCAGGGAGGTCTCATTATTTTTGAGGTGCAGGAGGCAGTGAGTGTGGTCACCTCACGGCTGCTGTTGTGTTTCAATATTTTTGGGAGGACTTATTTTAGCGCATGCGTTCAAAAGTCCAACTGGGCTTATTATCCAATGAGGTCTTATTTTCAGGGAAACAGGGTAGGCATATATACATATAATAAAAAGAAAGAAACGTTACAATAGAGGCATATTTTTAAAACTCATTTTAAACTGCTTTGTAGTTAAATTTCTCAATCTTCTCTTGTTTTTCATCCTTTAAATGATTCCTTTGGTTGTACTACTGAGTAATGTATATGATTAATTATGGGGCAGAATTAAGAAAAAAAGTGTCTCCTTCTTCCCTCTCTGAAGGAGAACAGCTGCTTAAATAGGCTGAAAGATTTGGTTGATGACCCAAAAGATTAAGTAACGGGGGGGGGGGGGAGCTATGTTCACCATTTTAAAAACATTTTCCCCATGGTTTATGAAGGTAAACGTGCAAAACATTGAAAGATAAGTTTATTCTAATAATAAGGTTACATATATTTCTGATTGTTGTTATTCACTGTAATTACACAAAATGAGTGGTTAATAAGCCAATCAAATTTAAAGAAGTAGAATATGATAAAGTTGAATATGATAAAGTTGGGAACCTACTAAATATGATACTGTACTTAAGCTTGATAAGAAATGGAGTAAAAAGTTCATATCCTAATTTTAAATAGTGAACTGACCAATCATTGATATTGATGCAACAGAGCAGTTACTTTCATATATATATATATATATATATATATATATATGTGTGTGTGTGTGTGTGTGTGTGTGTGTGGTGTGTGTGTGTGTGTGTGTTGTATTTGTGCTGATAAATAAATAAAAGGAGACTAACAAAGGCAACAGTAAAAATATTGGGTTTCTGTCTGGATGGTCTCCTATGACGAGCCAATGGACAGATAATGGAAGCAATGAACTTCCTCCCATATTTGGGCATACCAGAGGTTGTGACTTTATATATATATGTATGTATGTATGTATGTATGTATGTATGTATGTATGTATGTATAATGTATATGTATATGATGTATATGCATATGATGTATATGCATATGTATATATGTATATATGTATGTATGTGCATGTATGTGCGTGTATGTGTGTGTGTGTGTATGTATGTGTGTGTGTATGTGTGTATATATATATATACACACACACACACACACACACACACACACACACACACACACACACGATTTTTACAACCCCTGGTATGCCCAAATATGGG